CCTAACCCTAACCCTAACCCTAACCCTAACCCTAACCCTAACCCTAACCCTAACCCTAACCCTACCCCTAACCCTACCCCTACCCCAACCCCAATCCTAACCCCAACCCCAACCCCAACCCCAACCCAACTCTTAACCCTGACCCTGACCCTAACCCTAACACTGACCCAACTCTTAACCCTGACCCTGACCCTAAACCCTAACACTGACCCAACTCTTAACCCTGACCCTGACCCCTGACCCTGACCCTAACCCTCGTGCCTCAGCCTCCGGAGTGCTGGGATTACAGGCATGAGCCACCACTCCCAGCTCAAGAGTCACATTTTAAAAAGCATCCTGTCAGTCTACTCAACATTCAGGGATGAGAATCACTACCTACTTAAGTAGCCTTGCCCGAAATCTTGAATAACAAACAGGAACGCTGTTTATGTCTTTTAAAAAAATTTTTAAACAATTTTATTACAATGTGATGATCACATATATTAATAGAGAATAGCTTGTTATTTCAATAGCACACATCATACATTGATTTGATCAGAATAATTAGAATTTCTATTTCTTTATCATTTAGTTATATTTTGAATCTTCTGTCCTTTAGTTCTTAAACTGGAAATTGTCATGTTGCCCACACTGTTCTTGAGCTTGTGTTTCTCTTCTTTCAGCCTCCCTCATGCTGGAATGAGAGATGTGCACCCCTACATTGCCTTGAGAAGATACTTATTAATCGAAAATACAAGATCCATGGCCAATAAGTGCATGAAAATATGCTGAACATGCTTAGTCATTTGCATGTAAATAATCTTTTAAAAAATGGAGATTAAGTATCAGTGAAGATAAAGAAAATATAACCCTCATACTTTGCTCTTGGGAATATACAATTGTACAGTCACTATAAAAGTTAAGCACATAGTCACCATATGGCCCAGGAATTCTACCTATATGTTTATAGCCAAACAAATTGAAGACATTATCCACACACACAGAAAAACATTTGAATATGAATTTTCACAGCATTATTCATAATAGCACTAAAGTAGAAAAAATCCAAACCAATCCCTATCAAATGAAGAATGGATACATAAAATGTGGTGTGTATGTTAAAAATGCTGTCACCATGAAAAGAAATGAAGTATTACTGGAAGTCACAGCACATACCTATATTACCAGCCTCTTGGGAGTCTGAGGCAGGAGCCTGAGCTAAGACAGAACTCTATCCCACCCCCTACAAAAAAGAACTCTATCTCAAAATAAAATATAAACATGCACAAGGTTTGCTGGTGCACGCTTCTAATCCCAGCTCTGAAAGAGGTCAAGGCTAGAAGATTACTAGTTCAAGCCACACCAGGGCAATTTAGGAAAACTCTTCCTCAAAAATGAAAAGGGAAAAAGGCTCAGATGCAACTCAGTGGTAGAGTACCCCTGGGTTCAATCCCCAGTATGTCCAAAAATTGTTTTAAAGGGATGAAGCACTGACACATGGGTGAATCTTGAAAAGATACTACTGTTAAAGAAGCCAGTCACAAAAGACCTCATATCATATGATTCCATTGATATGAAATGTTTAGCCAGCAAATCCATAGAAATCCAAGGTAAAGTAGCAGCTGCTAAGGGGTGGGAGTAAGAACGGCTGGAAGGTTAGACATTTCTTTTAGGGGGAAGAAAATATTCTGGAATTATTGAGGTAAGGGTGTGCAATGCAGTGAGTATATTAACAACCAGTGGTGTATATTTTCAAATGGCAGGCTGGGGATACAGCTCAGTGAAACAAGTGTCTGCTTGGCAAGTGCAAGGTCCTGAGTTCGATTCCCAGTGCCAAAAAAAACAAAACAAAACAAAACAAAAACCAAATCAAATGGTAAATTTTATGTTACATGAATTATCTCTCACCCCCCAAAAAAACTCTCACTCCACAAATAAAAAGCAATTTAGGGCAGGGGCTCCTGACCCATGCTTGTACTTTATAAAACTGTGAGCCTCTCTGCAGCCCCAGCCTGCGTCTTCCTCACAGTGGGGAGCTGAGTCCCGCCCCCTCCCTCAAGTCCTCAGCAGTGAAGGAAGACCCAGCCCAGCCTAAGTCCCAGGTGCAGAGTGGCCACACTTCCAGTCTCCACGTGGCCTGTTTCCCACTGGAGAGGCCTAGACTGTCTCTGACAGGACACCTGCCGGCCGCGAGCCACAAGGAAGACCCAGCCCAGCCTAGGTCCCAGGTGCAGAGTGGCCACACTTCCAGTCTCCACGTGGCCTGATTCCCACTGGAGAGGCCTAGACTGTCTCTGGCAGGACACCTGCTGGCCGCGAGCCACACGGGAGACCCAGCCCAGCCTAGGTCCCAGGTGCAGAGCAGAGCAGCTACACTGCCAGTCTCCAAGCGGCCCGTTTCCTAATGGAGAGGCCTGTGCTGGCTGCTAGCCACAAGGCTCACACAGCAAGTGAGGGCTCCCGACTCAGACCTGTGAAACGGCAGAGCATACAGCACTCAGCTGGCAACTCACGTTTACTCACCTCTGTCTTCTCCAAGGGCATTTTGGATGGAAACTCTGGCATTTTCAAAGTGGACCGTGCAACCGGGAAAACAGGAGATGTGACACTTTACCTGAGAAATGCAAACCACTCTGCACATGACTCACAAACATGCAATTCATTCCTTCAGCATCTGGTAGGACAGTCCAGAAAACACATTTCCTGTCTTTTGGAGTTCATATTGTGGCTAGGGAGACAAACTAGAAGCAAGATGATGTGCCATCAGGCAGGTGGTCTCTGGAGGGCTGGGGGTGCCCCTTCGTAGCAGTCTACCACTCCTCCCAGTCCTTGTCTTCATTTCAACCAAGAATAAGGGAATGGGGCAAGACTGGTTCTTCTGGGTCTACACCTCCAGCAGAAAATGAGGAACTCTAGGGCTGGCAGAAAATGAGGAAGTCAGAACTGAAATAATGCAAAGTAAAAGTTTATGTATGGTTTGGTGAATGCAGAGAAGCTACCATACAGCAAGAGGTAAGGTAATCTGAGCAGGTGCCCCAAGGTCAGGGTTAGGGGTTAGGGGTTAGGGGTTAGAGGTTAGGGTTAGTTCTTCTGTTTCTATATTCTTTGATTATTGGTAAATTCTGTTTACCACCTGCAGTAACAGCCCTACAGGCATTGTGCACTGCACGACATTGCAACAAATCTAAAGAAGAAACAGATAATTGTCTTGAGGGTGCAGAAATAGCATTGGGAAAAATAAGGTAACATTCATAATGGAAACTCATCAAATACAAAATAAAGTAAAACATCCATAACCTGATGGAGGGCATCTACACAAAACCCACAACCAACATGGCACTTAAGGGTAAAAGACTGCATGTTTCCTCCCTAAGAAAAGAAAGCATGGAAATCTCCTCTTACCACTCAAAATTTTATTGGAGATTTTGGCAAGTGCAATAAGAAAACCAATCTGGAAAGAAAGAAAGAAAGAAAGCTGAGCCAATCACCAACCTGATTAAGTAAATACGCCTATAGGATTTCCACGAGAACTTCTGAAAATAACAAATGACTTCAATTAGGATATAAGATGCAAGACCTAACATAAAATTGAGGAGAATCTAAAGAGAAGAAATAAGCAAGGAAACAGTGCTCACTGGTCACTAGGGAAACTCTGGCTTGACCCCGTCTTGCCGGCTAAGGACTAAACGCTGCACACAGAAAGCAGGGTCACCTGGCCTTAGAATTACCCGCTTGATTTTGCTCAGGGTGAGCTGTTTCGTCAATACCACCGCGGAGAGGAACAACCCACAGCCACTTAGTAAGCTTTGCTGTGGTCCCAAAAAAGGTACTTGTTTCCTCCTACTTTGCAAGTCTTATACGCGTTTCCTGCCTACACCATCTGATGACTCCACTGCTTAAATACAATTATTGTTAGGCGAGGTGAGGTTGACATTGTGGGAAAGAGCCCGATCTAGAATTTCCCGGGTTACAATCTACCATTCGAGCTCTACCCACACACGCGGGAGTTTCTCTTGGCTCAAAGAGAGAGCAATGGAGCAGGAGCCAATCAGCGACAAGGAGGCGGGCTGTATGAACTCTCCAATCCAGTGGGACAAAGTAGGCGGGTGCTTCCGGTGTCATGGCGAGGGACTGGGTGTCCTGAGCGCGCTGCTGAGAATCTTGTAACTTGATAGGCCACCTCTGTGCCTGGTGTCGGCCGCACGCTGCATAGGAAGGACTCTAAAGACCGCCATGGTAATGTTGTGGGACAGAAGACGGGGACGGGATGGAATGCGGATGAGATCTGAAAGGAAGTGGCCAGAACCAGCTCCTGGGAACTGCATCCTCCCCGCTCTCCTGAGCTTCTCCTGGTCTTTGGTGCTTTGTCACTTTTTCCCTGTGCTGGGTCGGGGTTAGTTCTAGGTTCGTGCATCCCGTGACACTCCCAGCCCACCGTGCTGTCTTGGGTGGCCCCAGGCGCAGCATCAGCTACACCAATCTGGGGACAGCGGGGAGGGAGTTAGGTTGGGGAGACCGTGATTCACGTGTGGATTGAAGCATATCATAGCAGCTATGGTATGCTAGGTCCCTGGTCTCATCCCTTTTAGCTGCAGCCCTGCAGGACCTGACGTTTATAAATGTCCGCCATGTAGAATCTCATACCCATAACTCATCTCAGATCTCTGCCTTTTTATATTGAGTGAGTTACTAAATTTCCAGTATTTCCTGATGTTGCCAAAATCATAATAAGTGTTGATATGGGCTATGAGAATCCAAAGAAAGGTTTAATATTGCAGGTGATGTGACTCAGGGTGGAATTCCTGTTAAGCATGCAGTGAAATCCTGCATTCCATACTAAGCAACCCCCAAAGTTATCACCTTAATTATTTATGTCGCACCTCTACTCAGTGATAAAAGCAGAGCTTGTGGTCTCCAGCATTGTGGAATGAAGTCATGGACAAAACAGAGGATGTTAGGAGAGTTTTTGTTGGAAATAATAGTAGCTCCTTGATTCCTTGGAATCATCCTGAGTGGATAGCCATGTAGCTACTCAATTCAGAGCTACTTATAGTAATCAGAGCACAGTAATTGCTATTTAATGGTCACCTGTGACAGGTGTATTTAAGATGACCATTTGGAACTCAGGCTCTTAAACCCTTTTTCTGACCTTGCAAGTTTTATAGAAAACTGAGACTTTAGAGAAAAACTGGTTAATTAACACTTTAAATTCCTGGAAACTCAGAAGCTTTGTAGAGAGTGACAACTCCCTGTGGTAGGGACAGGCTGCATTCCTTGTTGCCTGAAGAAGTTGATTTTTGGTTTTCTGCCTGTAGTTCACTATTCTTATATTAATTCTTTTCAATGTGGCTTATTTCCTGACTCTGTCTCTGGCCATTTTCCCTAGCTAGGTGCCTTACTCATGATGTAGCTAAATAAAATACTCTTTACATTAGACTGTTTAAATGAGGCCTTCCAGGAGTTTAGAATGCTGAGAAAAATGGAGGGGATGTTAATGTATTACCAAGGGAGGGGACAGGGGAGGGGTTCTTGCTAAAGACAACTTTCTGAAAGGGCTGCCTGTTAAAGCCAAATTGAGAAACACATTGAATGAGGGCATCTCAGTGGACATGTGATATTGGTAGGAGTGGAAGCAGAAAGAGGGCTGTCATCTCTGAAGTACATGCTGTAGTTCAGAAACTGTTTCTACACATTGTTTTCAATTTGAAATGTTGATTGGAATGGACTTTGTATAAAATAAGCATTGAAGTAGAGGTAAATCCCTATAGTTAAGGTCTACAGACACATGACGGAATAGGAATGAAAAGGTTTTTTAATAAGGAGGAACAAAGAGGAGTAAAACAAAGGAGAGAGGAAGGTGTTTTGGAGAGTAGTGCAGTCAGCAACTACAATTTTGAAGGTCAGATTGTTCTTAGTGTGACAATAATTGAAGGATTGTGTCCTGCCTAGACTTGAGAGTGGGCCAGAAGTCACAGGCCTAAAGAAAGGAGGGAAACTTAGTAACAGATACTATAAATATGTTTTCTGTTATTACTGGTGAGCTCATCTAATTATCTGTGAGGCAAAATTGAAAATTAGAAAACTGGTCTTGTAGGTGTAAAAATAGGGTGGACGTCATCATTGAAGTGGAAGGGTTTTCTCATGGTCACAAAGGATTTCAAGGTGTGTTTGATGTTTTCTGTTGTATAAAAACTGAACTCAGGACATTTGCTCCAAGCCACACCTCCCCCAACCCATTTAAAAAAACTTTTTTGAGACCTGGTCTTCTTAAGTTGCCCAGGCTGGGGAGAACTTTTGCTACTATTTCCACCTCCTTGACTGTTGAGATGACAGACATGTGGCATTTTGCCAGTTCAACATTGGGGTTCTCTATGACTTCCAAGATTTCACTGGTTGGGTAGAGTAAACATCAATGAGGCATAGTGGTACACATCTTTAATCCCAGCCACTTGGGAGACTGAGACAGGAGCATTGCAACATGAAGCTCAGCCTGGACAACTAAACGTGATGCTATTTCAATATGAAATAAATATTTTGAGATGTATCTCCAGTCTAACTCATCTAATACACGAGGCCCTGAATTAAATCTTTAGCAATGAAAAAAAAAAAAAAAGAAAAAACTTAGTGGAAATCTTTCAATTTTGTAATTTATTTACTTTTCTCACTAGTGTTATATGGTACAATACTTGCTTATGATGGTGGACAGTGGTGCTGCTCTATCAGCAGCTGGATATCAACTGAACAGCCAGTGATTTAAAGTGTACTATATTTTCCAAAGTTCATGAGATATTCAGTATTTTGAATTTTGTAGAGTGATCCGTACATTTCCCCAAACACAGATCAAGGCAAGTGTGTTGAGTAGGTTTAAAAGATCCAAGGCTTGAGAATGATAATGTGATTGATAGGATATGTTCTGTGCATTTTCTTTCTTTTTTTTTTCTTTTTTTGTCTTTTTGAGGCAGAGTCTTGCTCTGTAGTTTGGGTTGGCCTTGACCTCACTTTGCAGCCCAAGCTGGCCTTCAATTCACAGCAATCCCCCTGACTCAGCCTCCAGAGTGCTGGGATTACAGGTGTATGCCATCACCCCCGGCCTGTGCATTTTTAGTACATTTTATTTTCAACTTCCTTTGGGTTGATCATGATATTTTCCCTTTCAAACTCAAGTAGCATTAGTAGACTCATTCCATCAACTCTTCAAAAGTATGTTGTCTAACATGACATTCATCAGATTGTTTCCTGTTTTGAATGCTTAATTACTCAGCTTCCCGGGAGCAACCCAACAAGGAGATAGTATGAGTACTGTTTTGGAAACAGAAGACTACTCCGGAGTATTTGTGGTTTGTATGTGTGTTTGTGTGTCTGACTTTCCTGTTTTTTGGTATTATAAAGTGGTCCTCCACTCTGGTCATACTCTGGTTTACAATACACTTACAAGGGGTGGGATCCAACCTTTCAAAGAAGACACAGGGCTGTTCAGTTTGAACGTGACACCAAGTACGTGCAAAGCTAAAGAGAAACAGTGCATTCGTAGATCTAATTTATGCTAATTACGAGAACCCTCCTAGCTGCTTTAACCTTGGGTCACCGTCTACCCTTCTGTACCGGGTTGTTCATTCCTAGAATCTCACTTCCTTTTCCATCACCTTAGTGGGCTGAAAGCAGGTCTGTCCAGGGGCTTCCTAGTCCCTTTACCTCTTGTACTGATTTGTATATCTTTGGGGAAAGCGAAGACCCTGAGCCTTTGCTATGTGTTCCATAAATGACAAGAGACTACACCCCCTGAAATCCCCCTGTCTCCTGGGTTCCCCATACTCTGAGGACAGAATTTCCGTGTTGGCATCCTGAAGAAACCCGTGGAAATGGCTTATGGAGAAAGGCACAGCTGAGATAAAGCACGAAGCTTCAGTTCAAGGCACCCTTTACCCTGTGCTGTGTATCTCCCTGTGGGTGTCATCACAGACCATCAAGCAGTAGAGCCGGTTCTGGGTTTTCACATTAGTGACATGGGAGAAGTAGTGCAGGTGACAGGGTCAAGGAGAGTGTGCAAGGACAGAATACTTTGGGTAGTGTCATTCATTCAGCTTGGGTTTGGGGTGCAGAGAATTTGGGCAGTTCTTGTGGCTTTGCCCGTTCTGGGTTCCTTGTCATCCAGGACCGTATATGTCCCTACTGCACCTGCTAAATTGATGGTTTTCTGGCATTGGTGATTGTGCATATCAGAAAATATGTGAATGTGTCTGAAAATTTTCTTCATCATCTGGATGTGGAGCATGAGGTAGATTTAAAGCATGGATAGAGGTCAAGAGTATTAATCTATGTCATATGACACACAGGACAACCCTTAAAATAATGAAATATTGGACCTGAATATCACTAGTTCTCTGCTTGACAACCCTATTGCAGGTGTGTCTTCTTTCCACATCTGTGACCCTGCTCATCACTTCTGGATTATATACCATGTCTTCATGTACTTTATTTATGCTGGCTATGATATGTACTGTACATATGCTCTTCCACTGAGCTACACACAAATCTGATGTACATATATGTTTGCTGTGGCCAAATGGGAGTATGTTAGAGAGTTCATCCTGTATTTTACTTGATTCATGCAATATTATTTTCCATATTTATTTGCATTACTGTCCATGTAGCTCCCAGCGGGGTCTCCACTGTTTGTCTCTAGAACATCTTAATTGGCTTTCCATAGTAATGGGAAAGCACGCTTGTCTAGTTTTGTCACTGGCGTAAGTGCCACAAGGCACATTCATTTGCTGCCCGAGAAGCAGATTTGAGAAAATGCATAGATTCTCAGGGCTCAGGAACCTATTTGCTCAGCACAGAGTATGTATCCTTTTAAATCTTAAATGTACACCGTCCATACCACCACCACCAGGAGGAGGCAATAGTTCCTATTTCTCGCAGCCATCCAACATTGGACTTTTTCTAGTTTGATGATTTCATAGATTTATAGACAAATTTATATCTTGTAACATTTTTCTGTGTTTTATGCATCCATTTTATGTGCTTTTTTCATTTTCTGTGTAAGCCCTTCTGTAAAATATCTGTTTATATCATATTTTCATACTGTGATGAGGAATTACTTTTGATAGAGTCTTTTTCTCTAGGTATTTCTTAATCAACATTCTTTCTCATACTTTTTCCATCTGCATGTTAATTTTATTTAATTTTCTTTAATGTTTCTTTAATTTTATTCTTTAATTTTAATTTAATTTTCT